ATTCTTTGCTTCTTAACATCGCCTCATCTTCTCTATGTTTCAATAGGCCTCCCCTCTTGGTTGGGGTGCTTTTCTTGATTTCCAACCTCCTTCGTAATCTTCCTAATTGACTTATGGCGTTACCGAACCCAGATAAATTGAAGCCATTCGTACCCTGCAAATCGTATCAGGAATTGAGTCGACTTGGCGGGGCTGTACACCAAAATGCTTCCCAGATCTTTGGGCAGATGTTGGTGTTTCTTTTAGGAACTCAGGGTCTTGTAGAGGGCGTTGAACCAAGATTTGCCAATAACTCTTGATTGAAAAAGGCTTAAAATGCAAAAAAAAGCCATAAGAGAAAACAAATCACGTGAACCACTCTGTATAGGTATGCCAGTAACAACCCATCTCCTCTTAGCATTCAAGGTAATGATAACTTGACTCTGTGCAGCATTAATATTCTTAATCATATGTGCTTCATCCAGAACAATTCTCCTTCCTGCTCTGTGCATGATGTTGGTGAGAGGAATGCGTACGGCGCTGAACTTAAAACATAATACCGCTAATCATGAAAATTAATAATGTGTTCGGTTTTGTCCTTAATCATGTTATTCTGTTCTTCCTGATGTAGGTGCAAAAACGCGGGATGCCTCTGACGTCATTGTCACTCTTTGTACACACTCCAACCTCTTTATTCTGCAGGATTAAGGAAAGGATCTTCGCCAGCTTGGCTGCACTGCTGCTGGTGAACAAAAGCTTCGAAAATGCCGGAGGAAGACTCAATCATAAAATCCGGGAATTATCCTCGAGCCTTGTTGAGACAGTGATTGTTGCACAGCTTGGTTGGGAATTAGTTTTAGGAATTTGGAAAATGATTTACTCTTGTAATCTAGTAAGAAATGGAACTCTGTGCGTTATAGCATGGCGATATCTCACAATTAAATGTGTTGGATTGTATTGGGTTTGAAATAAGACACAATTTCCTACTTCTTTGTATCTTTTCAATCATAGCAGTGAATTTGGAATCTTGGTTTCAACCTTGACGTTTGTGATATTCCAACTCTTGTACTTGTAAAGGCCCCCTTAGATTTTATGTTCATTATCGTTAAAATAACATGGGGCCATTTGAGTTCGAATGTGGAATAACGTAACTTGGAGATGAACTCTTGCATAATCACGTGAAATCTTCGAGAAAAGAAGTTCATGTTGGAAATTCAATGCTTTGATTTTTGGGATAGCTCCTTTTAATTTGGTATCAAAATTCGCTAATTGATATGGAGTTTCTCATATTAAATTCTTTAAGGAAATCAAATGATGACTCCTGACAAAACATGAATCCCGAAGGTTGTTTTGGGTACTTGCAGTGAAAACTTGATTCGGGAGTCTTAACCAAACTTACCGCTTCCAAAACAAATCGATCACGAGCCGCCCATAAGAAAGTTTTAACTCTTTTCTTCGAGAACTTTAATGATAATTTAACCTTGTGAATAATTAAAAGATTTAGATAACGACGAAACTTGGTATGCTAACCATGACCTGACTGTGAGGATCTATACTTGACATTGCTACATCTGCACACACTTGTTAGTGGTAAAGAACAAATGTTTTTTTAAAAATAAAGTCAAATAACAATAGAAAGAAAAATGCGCAACAAGAGGTGGGATCTTACGGTCAAAAATTAGGGTGCAACAACTATAATGATATGCTCTTAAGGGTTTTTCTTCCTGTCCAAAGTAGCCAACATGGGCGTTTGAAATTATCTAGGACACGGTCATCCCAAATTTCTCTAGTTAGAGGTTAAGGATCAATCACATATTCCAAATCATCTTCATCTGGTTGGGGGATAATGTTGATTCTATTGCAAAACATGCACACCCTTGCAACAACTCATTTTAATGGCACAAGTTTTCCACACGGTGAATAATTCCTTCATGGAAACCCGCAGTTCTAGAATTTCTACTGCTTGCACTTATCATGAAAGGATGATGAGCTCGTCATTTCACAATTTGGTGTGTCCTAGGCATGTTTTTTAAGAGCTCCACCGTGGGTGCCAAATATTCATGTAAATAACATTATTTGAATAATTCTTTTGATGCTAGTAAGAAAGAGTTAGATTAGGTGACTTTCGTATCAATTAAGTATGCCCTTTTAGTTTGAAATGTGCCTCATTTATACAAATCTTACAGCCTGCTATGAGACAAAGGATATAAATGCAATGAAATGTCATTTAATAGCCATAATAACCTTATGTCCTGTAATTATTATGCTAGGGAGATTTGTCTGAATATGCTCATGTCACATAATAAATGTCAGTATATGCTGGTATGGGATAACCCACCCACCTCGAGGCAACCTGAGTCACCCCTAAGTGTGGAAGTGAATCATATCCGACTTGACTTTAGATGCACCCTGCTAGAATTGTGTTACATGTCGATTATGGGATGTAATATATATATATATATATATATATATATATATATATATATATATATATATATATATATATATATATATATATATATATATATATATATATATATATATATATATATATATATATATATATATATATATATATATATATATATATATATATATATATATATATATATATATATATATATATATATATATATATATATATATATATATATATATATTCAGAAATCTTAATGTTCCAGATTGACCCAATGGCTAGGCATGAGCCAATCTACTTGTGCATCCAGAACGGCCCAATAGCCTAGCGCCTGCCAGTTGAGGGCAAAAGAAAGCACTTTCTCTTCTGTCCCTCAGTCGAGGAGATTTGGCTAGCTGACCCCCAGGATCAGCTGCCCTTCATTCCATCTCTGCCCGTCACGCACGGTTCATCCATCTAGAAACGGTCACAACGCACTTTCCCGGAACCACGCCCCTGCTCGAAGCAACAGCTAGTTCCGAGCATGTCTGCCCGTCTCAACGGCTAGTTTCTGGAAGTTACCTATTCTTTGGGGCGCAAATATCTCGCCCCAAAAATAGGGACCAATTGCCAAGTGCTGGGGGCATTATAAAACCCTCTACTTTAAGAGGGTCAGATTTTCAATATTCAATCGAATAATCACCCTAAGAAACACTTACTTTGAACTTGTCTTCTCTTCTTGATTTAACATCAAAGTGTCTTGCAGGTACACTCTCATTTTTCTTGATTTCAGCATTGCAGATGAAGTCTCTGGCCCACTTTAAGTTTTGATCCACCGTCAAGATCACTTAATTTATAATTAAATAATAAGAATAATAAATTTTTTAATTAAATAATTAATTATATGTTTTATTAGTTTGTATGAGTTTAATGAGTAGATCAAGATGATCCATTTGTATTATAGAAATTCTAATCGATAACATCATCATATATAAGCTAATTGGTCACATTTAGGTGAAAATATAAATATACCAGACACCTTGCATATTATACTCTTAATATTTGTGATTGAAGACTCTAAAATTAAGTGAAGTTGCGAGGTTACAATTAATCAACCGTGCTATGCGCACACCTTATTATTGTTGTGAACTCACCACAATGTATTTATAATTATAATCATGTTGGTCTTATACGAAATTACACAATCTTTGTGGATACGATAATTTTACTTATTCTATTGTAGTTTTTGTTGGCACAAATACTACGACAATATTTTTACATCCAACAAAATGACATCGTTGTCATGAATTGTTCATCACTTCAACAAAGCAACAATAGACTATACTTAAAATTTAAAGTAAAATCGTCACATCAATACTCAAATCACCACAACAAGATGACCAACACAAGAATACTCAAATCAACCACTACGGTACTAGAATCCGCATTAATTGTACCAAAATCAACAAGAGCTGTATCACTTCAACAAAGCAACAATAGACTATACTTAAAATTTAAAGTAAAATCGTCACATCAATACTCAAATCACCCCAACAAGATGATCAACACAAGAATACTCAAATCAACCACTACGGTACTAGAATCCGCATTAATTGTACCAAAATCAACAAGAGCTGTATCACTTCAACAAAGCAACAATAGACTATACTTAAAATTTAAAGTAAAATCGTCACATCAATACTCAAATCACCACAACAAGATGATCAACACAAGAATACTCAAATCAACCACTACGGTACTAGAATCCGCATTAATTGTACCAAAATCAACAAGAGCTGTATCATTATCATCAACAATCATCAAAAGAATACTACCAAACACATCACCAAAGACAACAATAAATGTGTCAGAATACATCTAATTAACTATAAGACATACTTATTAAACCTTTCCTTAGGTAAAATTTATTTTTCATAAAAATCGAATTTGAAATATTGAACAACTCATGCATTGATTAAACTGCTCTATTTACTTTTTCGTGTTCCAAGTATTCTGTGTTTTTTTTATGTTTATCTATTTTATGCTTTTGATAATGTTAAAGTGGAAGAAGTATAATTTCTTGGAGATCATACTTGTTATATCCTTATAGAGAGTTAAAACTCCAAACTTTCTCCAATTCTTAATGTCTTTTTAAGCCATTTTTCCAAAAGATATGTTGTCATGATGAAAAAAAGAAATTTTGGATGATTTTCTTGAAAGAATGAAATGCTAGAGAACACATCTTTAAACTTAATGCATGATTGCAATTCTAGAATATTTTCCAAAACCAGCTATTTAAAAGTTCATATGCAAGAAGAAAAAAAGAAACCACATTTATATACATAAATTATTTTTCAATATTACATATTAAGGAAAAATAGTATAAAAGATAGAGCATTGACAACAAGGTTGCAACTTGTGTAAGACAATTGGATAGAAGAACACCTTGTATCCACGAAGAAGAAAAAAGAAGCCTACCAATATTTGCAAAGCTACTATTGACATGATTTCAAACCAATATACTGCAGGGACCTCAACATTCTACTTGTATTGTGATTGTCGCTGCAGAGAGCTCAAAATCCTTTATATTGCGATTGCGGTTGCTGACTGAAATTTAAAACGATGACTATATATACTGCTCATATCCTTGCCAAACCCAAGCAATTTCATCTAGAGTAGGCTTTAAGAATTGGTTCCAGAATCTCCTATATTCCAATGTATCTCCAGCTATTTTGTTAACCTCAACAATATACAATGAAGAAGTAACTTCAAAAATTTCTGTGTCTATGCTGAGTTGTTCATTTAACGCTGCCTCAGTTCCTTCCAGCCTAACAATTCCATTTTGTTTCATAACCTTAAATCTACCATCTAATTGTGCTACCTCTTCGAGTTTCGCCACAACTATATAAGGTGGTCTTTTTGTAGAAAACCTTGCATGTGTTCTTTCATCCGTATCTTTCTCGAATAAACCAGAAAGATCGAAACCTGAAGAGAGTGATATGAGATCAAATGCGTTGAAACAATATGGTTTCATAGGATATTCTACGTAGTCTGTAATAGACATTGCTCTTGGAGTTCCGTTAGAGTTTGATGGCGATGATGTATCGTCGAACGCATTATAAACATCTGAGATATCGCCTCGCGTAGGCGATAATGGTGGTAACGGTTGTCCTTCAATCTGCATATATCCTTTTCTGAACCAACTATTTTGCATTATTTTGCTAATGGTAATTCTTGTTCTTGGATTAGGATCAAGGATTCGGTTAAGCAGCCTTTTAACTTCGGGACGAAACCATTGGGGAAACTTGTAATCCGCTTTTGAAATCTTCTTATACATGTCCATTAGGTTTTTATCATTGAATGGAAGATAACCAGCTAATAGAACATAGAGGATAACACCACAAGACCAAATGTCTGCCATGGCTCCATCATAGCCTTTTTTCTTGATAACCTCGGGTGCTACGTAAGCCGGAGTTCCGCATGTTGTATGAAGAAGACCATCTATATTTTTTGATTCCGACAGCGCGCTAAGGCCGAAATCCAAAACCTTGAGATTACCATTCTCGTCGAGGAGGAGATTTTCCGGTTTAAGATCGCGGTGGAAAACCCCTCTTCTGTGACAATGATCAACAGCTTCAATAAGCTGTTGGAAATATTTTCTAGCAGCATCTTCCCTCAGCCTCCCTCGGGACACTTTGTTGAAAAGCTCACCGCCTTTCATGATTTCCATTGCGAAATATATCTTTGTTTTGCTTGCCATGACCTCGTAAAATTCGACGACGTTTGGATGTCTAACGCGGCGCATGACCGAGATTTCACGTTTGATTTGTTCCCTCAAACCAACCCTCATGATCATGTCTTTGTTAAACACCTTAATGGCAACACTTTGTCCCGTCTTTATGTTCCTTGCATGATAAACTTTGGCAAAGTTTCCTTGTCCAAGCATGCGTCCTACCTCATATTTTTTCATAAGAATTGTTGGTTTCTTATCCATTTCTAATATAAAATATTGTGAATCAGCACCTATATAAGAAAAATTTGATGAGGTTTGAGCATGAGAGAAACAAAGAAAATTTGCATGTTTTTATGCTATTGATATTGTTAATAAAGATTTGGAACTTCAAGAGAATAGCATGAAAAACATGAAGGCTTGGGAAGCTGGAGGGGGATGGAACCACATTGCCCTGGGGAAGGGTTGAGGCCAAAAGGGTATACCTCTTTGTGAAGCACAGTAAATTGGTTAATTTGTTGAGAGAGATATTTAAGGAAAAGAAAACTAAATCAAGATACAAAGTAGTTGTAATGTTTAAAAATAGTGAAAATGGAATGTATTGGCTATTTTTGTGTTTATGATTTGGTTTTTTATGCTTATGCAGCTCAGAGAAAAACAGAATATACCAATAGAATTTCTATTAAAAAAAATGATATTGAAATAAAATTTGATAACAAATTATATAATTAAAATACAGGTAAAGCTAACATGTGTATTGATTTTAATAAAGATATAGAATCAAATTTTTAATTGTTTTTTCAAATACAATCTTTCTATAAGCGAGTTTCTTAATTTATGTTCATAGGGTATAAATTAGCATTATCCTTAAAATAATATAAATATGTATCTAAAAAGACGGTAATATTTTCAGAATGCCTGAACAATGAGAAATCAACAAAGAAGGAGAAAAACAGGAGCAATGAAGGCACTAAAAATTTCACAGGAGATTTTCAACCTTTTGTTAACATTGATCTGGGGCCTGTGAATAACAACACGCCTGTAGGAAGGAGTCTGAAATCTTATAAAGAATTTGTTGTGGAAAGTGGGATGGAGAAGAGAGATAAGGAGATTATGAGATGAGTGGGGAGGAGGAGGCAGACACGGAAGATGATGATAGTGCTTTGGGAGTCAAAGTGGAAGAGATGTAGGTGGGAGGCTATGACTGTCCGATCTTTATTCTGACAAAAGCAGAGGAAAAACGTATTCAACGTCCATGGATAAAAGGGGTGAGTGTGAACCTTCTTGGAAGGAAGATAGACTACAAGGCCTTGGAGACAAGACTTAAGCAAATGTGGGTACGCAACGACATCATCAACATCATAGATTTGGGAAATGATTATTTCTATGTCGCCTTCTCTCATGAAGATGATAAGAATGTAGCGTTGTCGGAGGGGCCATGGTTCATTTACGATCACTACTTAACGATGAAGGATTGGAGTCCTAACTTTCACCCGAAGAAAGACACAATCAAAGAAGTGGCAGTTTGGATCAAAATAGTAGGGTTGCCAATAGAATATTATGATAAAATAATTTTAGCAACTATTGGTGACAGAGTAGGACGAATAATGAAGGTGGACAAGAATACATTGCATGTAGAAAGAGGAAAATATGCTTGAATATGTGTCGAGGTGGATCTCACAAAACCTCTTTTGGAAACGTTTTCTATAAAAAATAGAATGTATAAAGTGGAAGGTGAAGGTTTACATCTTTTTTGCTTAGCTTGTGGAAGATTTGACTATTACCGTGAAGGGTGTCCGAATAACAAGCATGTAAGAGGCGAGGATGTAGAGGAAAATCATGTAAGAAAGGCTAGTGAGAAGAAAGTGTTGAATGACAATCGAGTTCTATTGAGTGGAGGCACTGCAGGACCTTGGACTGTGGTTCAGAAGCAGAGGAAAGGAAAAAATACGATGAATGATCGGAGGGGACAGTCGACGGGAGGAGTAAATGCAATTGATTATAATGTCGGATCCAGATTTGCTGCTTTGAATGAGGAAAATTTGGATTCAAATGACGTGGTTAATGATATTTATAATCTAATAATGAAGGAATCATTAGGTGTGATTTTGCCTATCGAGGGTGCAAGGAATGAAGAGAGAGAGAGAGAGAGAGAGAGAGAGAGAGAGAGAGAGAGAGAGAGAGAGAGAGAGAGAGAGAGAGAGAGAGAGAGAGAGAGAGAGAGAGAGAGAGAGAGAGAGAGAAAAGACATAATAAATTCTGAAGCCAAGATTAATGTAAAGACTGATCAACCAATTGGAAGTGAGCAGAAAAAGAAGAATCTGTTGGGCGGGCCTTTGAAGTTAGTGATGGAACTCATTGAAGGAATTAACCGGATGAGGAATGTAACCGGATTACATAAGCCCAAGGAGGAACACCTAAAGGGAAAAAAGGAAAGGCAACAGAATACAATAAAAAAGAAGTGAATATCGTGCAAACCATCTGGCCACACGTGGAAGGGTTTTATCGTACTTCAAAAAATGAAAACGACCTCGCGAAGCGCAACGGCACGCCCGCGAGATGGACTTAACAAAGTCACCACCGATCTTTATTTATTCCCATAGAGGTATGGGAAAGTATCGAATAAAAACCCTAAAAAGAAAGGACAAGGGTATGGTCATCGCAACCAATATCTAAGTTCGGGAGTTGGTTACGCAAGAGGAAAGTATTAGTACCTCTCACGTCCGTTGTACTCAATGGGAACCATTTAGTTAGGGTTGAATTTATGTTAGCTTATGATAGTTTCTAATCTTCTAATTATTGAGCGGGAAAAAGAGAGAAGAGAAATATTTTTAGATTTTTATTAATGAGAAAGGGAACCTAAAGAGGTTTTTATTATTAAGGTGCTCGCCAAGACTTTGCAGTCTCGTGCCTACGTATCCTTACAAGGATGAAATCAGAGCAATCATAGTTCGAGTGAACTTTGTTGGTTGATTTAAGCGAAAGCCAAATTGTATTAATCAACGTAAGGACTTTGTTTTACCCAAAACATATGAGGAGTGGACATTTTCACCACACTAAATGGATTTACGAATCTCATCCATGCCACTTATCTCAACTCAAAGGTTGTGGGAAAAACATTGCCCTATTGTTTATTAAGACAACATATTTCATTTTGAAAATAATCTTTAGACCTTATTAGATGTCTTGAAGCTTTGTTTAAGAAGATACACTTGATGACAATCAAATTTTGTTCATAACTATGAAGGTATTTGGTCTCTTGATGATAATCAAGGTTTGTCCATATAAATGGAGATTTGAGTATAGTTTTGGATACATTTTAATAATGATGAACATTTGATGATGATCAAATGTTCAAAGAACTTGTGCTAGAGTGTTGAACTCTAACAGTCTCTTTCTTTCAAGATTGTTTAAGAAAATTGTTTGTGGACCATGAATATTGATAGTGATCAATGTCTCAAAGAGTTATGCTAGAGTGCAAGAATCCAACACCTCTTGATCCAAGGTTATTTGTTAGGTGTTTTAAAGATGAAAAAAGGGAAATATTGGCTACCTAAATATGCAAGACTTGAGACCAATCTTTCAAGGGTTTTGCTAGAATGCTAGATTCTAACAATCCTTTTCTTTCAAGTTTATTTTAAAAGATTATTAACGTGTTTGAAGTACTTTAGCTATCCTTGAAGAAGTAAGAAAGCTTGAGATGACACTTGACAAAGGGCCAAAGTTGAAGAGGGCACTTGATAAAGGGCCTAAGGTTTATAAGAACATTTGATAAAGAGTCAAAGGTCTGTTAGGGCACTTGATGAAGAGCCAACAATTTGCTTATGGATGGTTCAAATTTGTAGGGTTTGAGTTTGGATTGAGCTGTTTGATATTTAGGATATGGATTTGGTTTTGAAGAAAAGTTTCATAATCTTGACGAGGATTAGGGCTTTATGAAAGGTGATGGTTTTATGAGAGGTTACAATCTTGACGAAGATTAGGGTTTGATGAGAGGTTCATAATCATGATGAAGATTAGGGTTTGATGAGAGGGTCATAATCATGATGAAGATTAAGGTTTGATGAAAGGTTAGTTATGATAATACTACCTCATACATGATTTATAAATCAAAGAAGTTATGAATTATTCCCTAAAGTTGGGTTATGATGAAATAACTTGATAAAGCCATGTGGGAGATGTTTATGAGAAGTACCAACTTAGGGTAATTAAGAGCTTACAAGCTACATAGATGAAACATCATCTAAGGGTGACTTGACAAAGTCACAAGGGAGAGGTATGATAATAATCAACCAAAGTGAACAAAAAGGATGACTTGACAAATTCATGGGAAAACAAACATGTTAAACACAAAAGAGATACACACATACATTCACAAGGATGAGGTATCATCAAAGTTTAATGGCACATTAAAAATCATGGTCCACAATTTCACACTTATGGTATGCATTAGGTTCATGTTCATCACAAAGATTCACCTCACAAGGTTGATTTAAACATGGTAAGAATAAACATGCTTCTTAAACAAGGTTAAGGAAAACATTTCAATCAACATGTATATCATTTATCAAGACACTTTGATTTAATCTAACAAGATAATCAATGTTCAAACATTTAACAACTTATCCACAAATGAACTACATGATTTAATCAAGTATAAAGTTCACAATTTAGTCAAAAGGAAAGAATCAACCGCCACCTTTACAAACAACTCAAACAAAGCATTTACTCAAAGTTTTTTTTATTAAAAGTGTATGATTAATAAAATGAATAAATTATTTAAGAATTTACTTAACAAAATAAAACAAATTAAAGAATTATTTAACAAAATAAGTAAAATAAACTATTTAAAATAATAATGATGATAAACAATTTAAATATTTATTTAACAAAATAAATGATAGGAATAATTAAATATTTATTTATCAAAATAAATAGTGATAAACAAATTGAATATTTGTTTCTTTTTTAAAAAAATAAAAGAAAAGAATTAAAATGAATAAAATAAAAGAAAACAAATAAAAATAAATAAAAAAGAAGAAAGGAAGAGAAAAAGAGGTAAAAAGAGAGACTTGGGTTCGAACCCCTTCCCTCACCTTGGTGACAAAACATGTCTTCCACCAGGCCAAACCATTTAGGCTAATAATAAGATGCAAACAAATAATAATAATGAAAATTAAAATTAAAATTTTAAAAAACGCGCACAAACATGCTTTTCTTCAACCTTGAGACACAACCTCCATGAAAATGGAGTTTTCTTGTTTTTCAACCAAATCGGACAATCTAAAATGCTAACTTGCTTAGAATTTTACCAGAAATTCAACTATAATATTCAATTTCATTTATATTTATCATAACTCATGAAATCAATGTAAAATCAGAGAAATTCTAATTTTTCTAACAAAAATTAAATTCCATACAAGCATGATCAATGAACACAAGCATAGGACTTTTAATCCTCACATTATGGCCATCATATTGGTAACAAAAATGAATCAAAATGATGCTTTGATCATAGAGTTTCAAAAGTGACAACATACCTCAATGAAGTGAAATAGTGATTCTGCGTTAGAGCACTTCCAGATAGAATTTGATGACTCCTACAACTTCCATGGACCTCAAGGAGTGTGTTGATGTGTTTAGCTTTCCTGAAACCTTCTAGAGCTCTATATCCAAATCAACTTGCAAAGTGGAAAAAATGAGATAATGATATGGTAATTTTGTTGTTACAAAAGTGTTCTAAAGGTTTGGAAAAATTCTATGAAGTTTATCTGAGGTGTTTGTGGTTTTGGAGCGGAGTTTGGTTGGAGGAAATTGAAGATCACAAGTTTTGGTTTTCTTGACAAACTTGAAAATGTGAGAATTAGTGCACTGGTGATTCTGAGTTTCTAGAGGTTTTGGTGTGTGTTTTCTGAGTAATCAAGGCTTCTATTTATAGTGTGGATGACATGAAGCAAGAACATTTGACAATGACAAAGTTTGGAGGATTTTGGAGGAAAACCAAAAGGTGGACAAGAAGGTACGAAGTGGATTTGCTTTTGGAAGGTTCCTAGCTGACTTTTCAAGTGGGGCCTGAATTATGCATTAACTACATCTGATGTTAGGATCAGTCTCTTGCCTTTTCCAACAAGTCAACATGATTAAAGTGCTTAATCATGTATTAGCCAAAATCAAACTATCTTAGCATGTTGGACCAAAGCTTTACACTATGAAAGAAGATCAATCTTTGCTAAATTTGCCACTTACTTGGAGATTTTGTGACAATGAACAAGTTCTAAGTTGATCTCATGATGAAAAGAAGTTTGAAAAGTGGCTAAAAGAAACCTCAAATCTGTGCACAACCAAACTTGATACAATTATGTCTTGGAAAATCAGCATTGACATGGCTTCTTCCCAATTTTGTAATTTCATGCTTAAGCAAAAGAAATTCATGGTCTTGGTACAATTGGAAAGAAGACATAATATACTACAACTTTCATGTTGATCACTTAAGGAAATTCAACTTGCATCATGGAGAAAACTGGCCATCAAAATTGAATTTTTCAGTTGTTTGATACTTAGAAATTTTTTAGGTATTTTGACAATTTCAACAACTTTGAAAATCTAAACTTTGGCACTTCATAACTTCTAATTATCATGAGCTTTTGATCTAATTCTTCCATAAGATTAAAGTATGTAATTTCATCTTTAAGTACATACCATGGGCATGAAAAGTGGTGGCTTGAATTGATCACAACGTGGTCCTAAAGTCATGCACTTGTTAAGGTGAAAAACTTAGAAAAAATTCTAAGTGTCTAGATTTTTAGCAAAATAAAAAATCCTAACTTTAAACATCAATAACTTCCACTCCAAGAAAGCTTTGGGCTTGTAATTTTCATGAAATTGAATTATCAAATTTCATCTTTAAGAGGAGTCCTCAAGTGTCTTCATTGGATGCTTGAGGAAGAAGTTACAATTTTGGAAAGTTGGGCTAATAAAAGTTGGTCCCTCAGATGTACTAATAAAAGCTGGAGCCCCAAATGGGCTAATAAAAGCTGGATACTCCTTAGGGGAGAATAATGTCATGAAAGGCTGAGAACTGGCCATGGACATGAAATCTAACTGACTTTGCGGGGGAGGACACATGTCGACTGAGGTGCCTGACATACAACTACTCTCAGACGTTGGGACTTTTTACCCTTACTCTTATCAGTTCGGGGTGGCATTTTACCTATTTATAAAGAATACACATTTAATTTATATTCATGAACAACACAAATAATAAATCTTAAAAAACACAACCACAAATATATATATTCATAACACATTCAATACAAGGTTTCATTTCATCAAGTTAAATTATAAAAACAATTTATTCAAAATCATGTTCATCCATATCATTATCATAATCTGATGTGATATTATCCTCGGACCCAAACTTTTCATGCTCGTTGTCCATTTCATTTTCATCCAACAATATAGACGCATCAACTTGATGCCCCTCAACAGTTGTACCAGACAAACTTGTAATTTGTTCAACCGCAATTGTATCATTAATTTGTTCAACTTTATTAACTTGGTAAGCAACATCTTCCACTAGATCTCCAGTTTCAATATGACCCAACGGTTTTGTTTTGATTACAACAGACCACCCTCGTTTATGTGGTACAATTGAAGGATAAGGAACATAGTAAACTTGTTTAACAATATGTGACATTATGAAAGGGTCATACTCTTTGTACCTTTGGTCCATTCGAATCTCAACAGTACCATATATCTTATCTATTTTCGTATCTCTGGCAGATGGATTATACCGGTCACAATAAAATAAAACATATTTATTTTCTGAGTCCAAATAATTGTATACCAACTCGTAGATATGTTTAACAAAGCTATAGAAGTCATCCTCACCACCATCTGTAACTCCTTTTACAAATACGCCACTATTTATGGTTTTTTCCCCTTCAATCCATGTCTCAGTGTGAAATTTACATCCATTCTCGAAGTATGTTTGCCATTCATTTATGCTTTAAATAGGGCCTTCAGGAAAGTTTCTCAAATGGAGTATTTCTTGAATCAGTGCAACAATGCATGACAATTTCTCCTTGAGCCATGCTGGAAAATGAACATGTATGTGACCAGAGGTTGCTTGTACACCGGTGCTATGAAAGCAGGAGATGTTAAGTTTCTTATAAAGAAACACACTATAAGTTTCAAGGTAATAAGTTTTGTATTCATACGGTAAATAATATTAAACATTTGAGATATACATACTCAAGATATGGTTTAACTTCAACACAGTTAATTAAGACATGAACATGTGCAGATTGCATTTCTTTTTGAGTTAGCCAATGCACGCCCTTCTTTCCAGAGGGACGACCAGGAATCCCGAAGACTGATAAGGTAAATTGACTTCTTTCGTTAACATTTACAAGATTCCTTATGATTCTTGGAGTTAACATCAAGTAATTGAAATAGTGACTGCAAAAATGAGATGTTTCTCGATGCAAGTAATGTGCACATATTGATCCTTTAACTTTAGCTTCATTTTTCACCGATTGCTTTAAATCACCCATGAACCTTTCAAAGGGATACATCCACCTATATTAAACCGGGCCTCCAAGAAAAGCTTCATATACAAGATGCATAGGTAGATGTTCCATAGAGTCAAAAAAATCAGGCGGAAATACTTGTTCCAACTTATAGAGAATGACTGGAATATTTCGGTCTAACTTAACGATATCATACACTCTTAAAGATGATGCATAAATATCTCTAAAAAATTAACTAATTTCAATTAGTGGATTAAGCACATGATTGGGTAGTGAACCGAACCCAATTGGAAGCAATCGTTCCATAAAAACATGGCAATCATGACTTTTTATACCATGTAACTTCCCAGTGTTAACGTTAGTACACCTTGCCAAATTTGAAGCACAACCATCGGGCATTCTCAATTCTTTTAACCATCGACAAACCACTTTAGCTTCTTGGGAAGTTAGATTGTAATTCGCCTTAGGTTTTAGCAATTTTCCATTTGGTTGACGCTTCAACTCCAACTCTTTTCGATTACACCAAATTTCTATGTCTAGTCTAGCCTTCTCATTATCTTTAGTTTTGTCTTTAACATCCATCACTGTGTTAAATACATTATCAAAAAAAATTCTTCTCAATATGCATAACATCAAGATTATGGTGCAACAAATTATCTTTCTAATATGGGAGGTCCCAAAATATACTTTTTTTGTCCAATTATGTGTGACCCCATATCCTTGAATTCTACATACTTTATCAATATCTGTGAATTTGGGTAGTTCACAAATTTGGTTCCATACTTCACCTGGTGACAATCGAGGCGGAGGAAAATCTATTACTCGTTCATCTTTTTTGAAATCAGTCTTGTTTCTTCTATGGGGATGACTTCTTGGTAGGAATCTACGGTGACAGTCAAACCACATATGTTTCCCCTCTTTTTCCAACGTAAACGCCTTGGTGTTCCCCATGCAATGCGGACATCCCATTTTGCCATGCGTATCCCATCCAGACAACATGTCATATGCTGGAAATTCATTAATAGTCCATATCAAGGCAACTCGCATAGTAAAGTTTTGTTTACTTGATATATCATAAGTCCGTTCTCCAATCTAAAACCTCTTCAAACCATTAATTAAAGGTTGTAAGTACACATCGATTCTGAATTTTGGACTCGACGGTCCTGGAATGAGGCAGGTAAAAAACATGTATGGTTTTGTCATGCACATCTCAGGAGGGAGGTTGCAAGGGGTTACAAAAACTCATCAACAAGAATACCCACTTCCAGATGCTTGGACATATGGAGTAAAACCATCAAAGTATAATCCAAGCCTCACATTTCTAGGTTCTGTGGCAAAATCAATATGTATGCGACCAAAGTGCTTCCATGCCTCACCATTAGATGGATGTCGCATAGTTCCTGAACTTTTTTTTGGAATGACGCAATGTCACTTGACTTGCACTGTGCATTGAAGCAAACATTCTTTTCAATCTTGGTATTATCGAAAGATAAAACATGGACTTCAATACTACATGTTTTTGCTTACGGTTAATGGCTTTACTACGAACTTTATATCTTGGACTCTTACATAACTTATATTCCTCTAATGCTCCATCATTAGTACCAAACGCATTGTCATAAAATAGCATGCAACCACTAATGCAACAATCAATCTTTCTTACTTCTAAGCCCAACTTGATACCAACCTCTTTGCATCATAAAAACTTGTAGGCAAGTTGTCTTTCGTAGGAGTCGCATCGTGCATCATTTTTGTGAAGAATTCCAAACGCTGATCAAGAACATTCTAATTTGACTTGGAAGCCAATAAGGTTTTGGGTGAGTATGTGGTATGTGTCTCACAAAGGTGTTGTTCTAAGAAATAAATCTCACAATATTCAATACTCCCTAGTGAAAATCTCCCCTAATAGCGGTATTATGAGCCTTTGGTTCGAGTAAATGGACCAACTTACTTGTATCAAAAGTATCCCCATAGATCGTGTGTTGAGTGTCTCGTTGAAGAGTGTCAACAACGGTACAAGGGTGCAGTTGCACAGTTGAAACTTCCGCTTAATGGGGTGCATTGTAGAAGCATAGACTCACACTTGAGGAGAAGTGTTAAGTATTAACAAGTCTGAGTAGTGTGGATAATAGTCTCACATTGGATAAAAATGTGGTGACTTGAGCATTTATAAGTGAGAGAATCCATACACCTATCACCTTAAGATTTTGAGTGAGTATGTGGTCTGTCTCTCACGAAGGTGTTGCACTAAGAATTTTTTTTTCATAATGTTCGATGCTCCCTAGTGAAAATCTCCCCTAACAACTTTTAATAGAAATAAACTTTCTATTATAACTAAATATTTAATAAACATATAACATAACATATAATACATATAATTAGTAAGCATAACATAACATAAAATGCATAATTAGTATATATTACATAATTAGTATAACATTAACATTTTGTTTTAACTATTAAATATGCTATATATACAATCAAACATAGACTATTAAAAATTTAAACTATTTAATATATATTATTCTTAAACATACACACACACACACACACACACACACACACACACACACACACACACACACACACACATATATATATATATATATATATATATATATATATATATATATATATATATATATATATATATATATATATATATATATATATATATATATATATATATATATATATATATATATATATATATATATATATATATATATATATATATATATATATATATATATATATATATATATATATATATATATATATATATATATATATATATATATATATATATATATATATATATATATATATATATATATATATATATATATGTTGTTATATGTTTATATTATATTTTTGTTATTAATAACAGAGTTTTTATATTAAAAATAGAATAAATTTTTAATAATATAAGTTTAATCTTATATATAGAATAAGTTTAACCTTCCCGATGAAGTGGGCATATTTCACTCCTCAGTGGATCTTCTACAACACCGATCTTCTCCAGCGAAGCGGATGTTTATTTCATCCCTACAAAGTTTCGACTACGACGTATTCAATAGTTATACTATCCCGGTTTCCCCTTTGAGGTGGATATTTATTTTATCCCCTGTGAAACCTTAGCTCGGGTATCTCCATCTACTCCAGCAAGAATCTCTCCAGTGAGGTGGATATTTATGTTATTCACAAGGTTTCTCCAGTTATGAGATTGATCTACCCCTGGTAGACCTTTATTCTCGTCTTCAACAAGACTTATCAAGATGTTATGCCCCCAAGTGGAATGTTCTCTATTCCCCATACGAGTTTTTGAAGCCCTGAAGCAGGATTGTGATCCCATATTTGGTTCTCCACCTATCCCCAATGGAACTTTTATCTTTGAAGATTGGTCGGATGTTTGCTTCGAGATGTTTATTTCATCTCCGGTTTCCTTTGTCCGTTTGTTTTGTCAGCATAGCATACGCATAGCATATAGATATATAGCATGGCATGTGCATTCTGCATCTTTGTGTTCGTTTGTTCTGTCGCTTTGGTCGTGGTTATCCCCGGGTGGTTGGGCACGTCTTCTCCTTCCAATTAGAGTTGTCAGCCCTAGGCATAAAAAAGCATTATATTTCTATTTCCCCACAGAGTTTGATCCTCGTGGAAGACGGTTATTTTAGTACATCCCATCCGAGTTCATACCTCGATGGTCGAGTCTTGCTTGACAGTTTCTCTTTGATTATTTCTCGAAGTGAACTTCGGTCCTTGGCAATCATATTATGGATATCTCTGACTTTTGAATATGGATTAAAAGTGAATTTATTTTGCACTTTTCCTCAAGAGAATTTTTTATGAAGATAACTATTGAAGATGGACATTTCTCCAACAGTATTATCAGACTTCCTCAACAATTTACATTTGGACTATAAGCAATATCTTTATTTGAGTAACTCGTTTTGACCAAGATCCTATTCGAAACGACAAATGACAGTCTCCTCAAGAAAGTTTGTCCATCCCCAGTGATTATCGACTTGGTAAATGAAAAACCTTACAAGTATTTCTCTTTATTTGAGAATTCACACATTTTTACAACAGCTAGGATGCTCCTCAGGAATGTATTCCCCAGCGAATTCGTCACACAAGTTTATTTCCGTCAAGCGACATATTCCCAGAGAAGTTGAGGAAGCTTATCATTAGTCTCTCTTTATTTGAGGAGACATACTTTACAATTCAACCGGCTCACATCTCCACTGAAGATTCCCGGTGAAATTCTACAATTTACAATACATTATGGCTCACAGCCAAGAAGTTCTATAATCTACAAATCTACAACGACATCTAGAAAGTTCTACAATTTACAACAACATTTACATTTACAGTCTACAACGACAATTACAAATTACAATTACATCTACAATCTCCAATACATTACAAACTACAATCTACAACAACATCTACAATCTACAAATTTTCAATCCCCTGTGAAGATGCTCTCGCGAGTTTTCATCATTTCAGGAAGAGACTGAGACCCTTTCGTGGCAAACAAACCATGAGGCGTGGGGAATTTATTTCAAGACTGAGACCCCTTCGTGGCAAACAAACCATGAGGCGTGGGGAAGTTATTTCAAGAAACTGAGACCAGCTCATGGCATCCAGACCATGACACTCAGGGAGGTTTATTCAAAGACATTTCTTTTCCTGGCTAATCTTGGCAGTAGATTACCAGTAGACCTCGGCAGTAGGTATTTCTATTTTATTTCCTGGCTAATCTCGGCAGTAGATTACCAGTAGACCTCGGCAGTAGGTATTTCTATTTCTTTTCCTAGCTAATCTCGGTAGTAGATTACCAGTGAACCTCGGCAGTAGGTATTTCTATTTTATTTCCTGGCTAATCTCGGCAGTAGATTACCAGTAGACCTCGGCAGCAGGTATTTCAATTTCTTTTCCTGGCTAATCTCGGCAGTAGATTACCAGTAGACCTCGGCAGCAGGTATTTCTATTTCATTTCTTGGCAAACCTCGACGGTAGATTTCCAGAAGACTTCGTCG